GTTCGGGCCGTCAATATCGGGTCTTTATATCCGTATATTATACGAGCACGTATTTCATTCATCATTTTATAGGGGAGTGTTTTTTTTTTCTTTACGCCAGTCAGTTGCTCTGCGCGTGAAATGCGATAGCGACGCGTATAGGATTTTTTTTTTTCAATTTTATTTCACACGTTTTTATATACCGAGCATATCGCCGGCGCCATTTCTCAGGCAGTAAAAATCGACGTCAAATAGGCAATTCCCGGAGCTCGCGAGCATACATATAATATACAGATTTATCACGGTCGTATTGCCGTTTAAATTTTCGTTTCAGGTCGCCAAAAGCCCGTGTGCCGGTTATGAAACTGCAGTATTTTCATTTCGTCCATTGTACACAATGTCCGACTTGCACGCTCGTTCCGGTTACTAAAAATCTGCGCTCCGTCTTCCGGACGTAATCCGATTTGCTTTTGTTGACCGTCTCCGACACCGTCCCGTCCAGTGGTCGTCATTTTTTGTTCCGTTTATTTTTTTTCCACGCCCAACCAATGCATTTATGCCGGTGTTATATTCGCGCCGTCCGTCTGAACTTGATAATTAATTTTTGGCCGATTGTATAATCAAATTTTGCGCGGAATCAAACGACAATAATTAGATGGACAACAAAGTATTGATACCGATCTGTGATCTAATAAAACGACGACGACGACGACGGCAGCGAATACGATTCTTTTATTTTCACTTTTTATTTATTTTGTTTTTGTTTTTTTTGTTTTTACTTTGCTTGCTTACACGTATTCCACGGAGAGATATATTAAAATAAACAATTCAAAGTGTATCTGCTCAGGCGAGACGGCAGGGAAAAAAACCAATGTTTACTTTGTTTGATCACTTTGTGTATAAGTAATATGTACCTATTGAGGGGAATCTTTGCTTAAAATTATCCGATCATGGTAAAAAAGAAGATAGTGTTTTTTTTTTTCTAAAGTTCAATCTACAAAGTGCCTACCTATATAGATTGTATACGCCAACAAAAACAAATCTGTTATATTTACTTTTTATAAAACGATTTATTGAATTTACTCGTAAACAACAAATTAGGACAGATATAGTTTTGTGACACAGACGTCAAAAGCCTTTTTAACATGGTATTCAATATATTTAATATAAATCTAAAAAATAACGTATGAGTATATATTATAAAACACGTGTTTAAAGAGAGTAATATTCTCAATGAATCGATAAAAACAACAAAATGGCGTTTAGATAATTTATTTTTGTCGATTTTTAATTAAAAATAGAGAGTATTGCACAATATATATTGTCTTTATTCTGTATCGCTTAGGATATCTCTAGTGGCTCCCTCCCGATCAAACGTATCTAAACTCGAGAGTTGGAGTTTTTTTGTAGGTAGATTGAAGCAAATTGGATTGAAATTAAATATGGATTTAATGATGTTGTTTCAGGCGGAGAAAGTTGTATAGCTTTGTACCCACACACAAACTCCCAAAATAAAGCCAGAGGGATGTTTATGCACAGTGGCGTAGGTATCAAGAATGTGCCTTTTGAGATGTTTAATCTTTCAACCTACGCTCCTACCATTTGTATGATGAAATTTCACAATTTGTTTGGAAATGAAACACGTTATAATTGTAGTGTAGACTAGTGATGCGCAACCCAAGGGTCGCGACCACTAAATGAGTCACAAAATTTTAACAGGAGGTCTCCAATATTTTTACACCAAATGAAATTTATAAATACATATTATTTTATGTAACGTAAAATTTCTTGTCGGTGACCGTATCAATCGTAATATATCATATTATTATCTTAGTATTACGATAATAGATTCCATTGAACCAAATGAATATGGATTATTTTTAAATTTAATTAGAAAATATTATCATTTTGCTTTAACTTATTTAAACGAAACTGCATATTCACCATTAGGGATAGTAAAAAACCAACATCGCTCCAGATTAAATGTCGAAACAGATTTAAGAGTGACAGTCTCAAATATCAAACCCAATTTAAATTCAACCATGTCTACAATTCAAGCACAAGGGTCTCATCAAATCATGTAATTTTATAATTTTAAATTTTTAAAATGTTGATAATATATAATTATAGCAATTTCGGGAATTTTTTTTATTTATGTTTTGGAATCAAAAATTTGGATAAATTAAATTAAACAAATATTAAAATTACCTAAAATTAACGATTAAATGTATACGACTATAATAAGTGTATACATTAAGTAAATATATGTATAAGAACACGTATTTAATGTCAGTAGGAAAGGTGGTCGCTTCATCGAAATAAATTAATTTGGGAGCCGTGGATCAAAAAACTTACACACCATTGGTGTACACGACACTGTAGTATAATATTATTATAATTTTAAAATAGTATTCAGTAATTCGTTATTTTTTTTTTTTTTAAGACTATATTATACAAAATAGTTTGGTGAAAATGTGAAAAAAAAATAATAATTTGACTTAAATCGTACTGTTTTACTACATTTGTAATATATATTTGCAGTCTTCTAACCTAATATAAGTTTAAATAATATTAGATATAAAGGTTTTAATTTTTTGTTGACTAAAGCGGTAGTGTTCTGGAATACAAATTGTTCACAGGAACTTATTCACAAGTATTCAACTTATTTCCATCCATGGAATTGACCCAAAGACGCCCCTGAGCAATACTATTAACCGAGCTATACTCAGAATCGTTTTTTGTTGTTGATGTTTAGGTACAGATATACATTAAATTTTCCTCAATATCTTACCTTCCCAACTTCTCATCTATAGCAATAGTCCACCCATTGTGCGAAGAACATCCGTTTTTTTTTCTTATAAATCATTAATATTAAATTTAATTATTTCGCCCCCTCCACCATATTCAAGGTCTGGAAACGCCCCTGATAGGTATTTTATCAGATACTTACTGTTGGGGACTTAATTTATCAACATTATATTGTTAAGTATTAAAAACAAAATAAGGAAAAAAAAAATACTCCTTTGTATTTAATACGTTCATACTAAATTACGTACGTTATAATTGTATTACAATACGCTATAAATTTATAAAATATTGTATTTTAATTTTATCGAGGTGTTGCTACTACTACTACTATTACTACTTCTACTACCATTACTACTAATTTCTACTGCCGAACTCGTAAATACCATAGATAATTTAATTTCGTTCTCTTATGTTCCATTTAAGAACCTTCAACATGGATATCTCGACTTCAGCCCATAATATTTATCCGGTAAATAATTATACGTAATTGATATTTTTTTTTTTTTTTTTTAAACTCAAACGGTTGAACGTTTCTCCTTTCTATTTCTACCCCTACAGATAAACATGATCCACCCGTTCGAAATATCATGTTACTAAACCGATAGCGGCTGAACTTGTCAAACCGTATCCCGTGCCAATGATATCAGAGACCATGTTTATTTAACAGATAAACGCAAACGTCTCCTTTTCTACCTATCTTTGATTATTGTTCTTTGTTGGTTTGATCAAACCTAGTGACGAAAAATCAATAAATAATTAAATTAATAATAATATATTAAAGGCAGGCAATCGCTATGAACGTGTTTTGTTATTATTTATAGCCTTTGAACATTTTACAAATAAAATTGTCATCTTTGAAATGTAGGCATATATTATAAATTATGAAATCAAGACAATATAATAATATGTAAACAACATTATTATGTCGTACGGTTTTCGACAATCCGGTGCGTAACATCGATAGTGGACAAAATGAGAGAAAATAGACTGAAACGGTTTGGGTATGTCATGAGGTGAGAGAAATCAGATGCAATGAGAATTCCAATGAAAATAGACTTAGGAGGAAATGGGGGGAGTGGAAGACCGAAAAAAAGGTGATTAGATGCGATTAGGAATGATGTAATGTGGATGAAGGGTGTATGTGAAAACAGTGTTGGGGATCGAGTTAAGTGGAAGTATAGGCCGATCCCAGATGGTTGGGATGAAGGCGAACGAAAAAAGGGAAAAGAAGAGAATGTCCAACTATCTGTGCATTATGGTATTGTGTCGAACGGTAATATATATATATATATATATATATATATATATTATTCGTTTTCTTAAATATTGCCGTGTTCTAAATAATTCGAGAGCGTATCGACGTATCTCTTCGATAAGTTGAAGAGACGTTTCTGGCTTCTATATTACCACCGTTGGTTAGTCGAACTCGATACATGAAAGGGAGTATGGTTGAACAAAAAAAAAAAAAAAATGTATAGTATATAAAGTACAAAACTTGCTGATTTCAATTTCAGAAAAAAATAAAAGTCCCAATGGAGTTTTGAATAGGTCTTCTGTGCAATGACTGTAACGAGGTTTTTTTTTCCTCCTTTTCAGCGGTTAGGTAGGTACCTATAGTTACTACTTCGACATTGAGTTTTATTTTTATACATTATTATATGAAAAACCCGATTCGTTTTCTTTCGGTGAAACGTAATTATACGACGAAACCGTGCACGCGTAACGTACCCAAGCACAAATCATAGTACATTTAACTCTTACCGATCGCTTTATTATAAGAAAAGAACCGTTATAACAAGATACGATCGGTTTTTATTCGTTCACATTAAGCTGGAATATTTGTTCTATTTAATTTTCATCTCCGCCGTCGTAATGTTTCGTACGTTCCGATATAGAAAAAAAAAAAAAAACCCCGGGAATGTAATGCGCACGATCCACTTTTTTCGTTTAGTCCCATAACTTCAACGAACGTTGACTATCGTTAATGGTCTTCTCAGTGCTTCATGCGAAAGCCGTTATGAACCCGGCATTCCCTGATAGTTACTAACCGTATTATTCGTTGTCTTCCACTCATCTCCTACCTTCAATCTTTATTATATTATTTGTATGTCGAAATTAACCTAATTTACGTGATTTCACTGCACTTATAATACTTCTGTTTCTTTCCGTGTTCGTTTTATAGCATTCGTGTTCGTACGGTATGTACACGATATTCGCAGTATTTATCTCTTGCAGCGGTTCTTGAACTGTGCACTTGCTGTGAGACCCTATGGGCACCGTGAGCCAATTCCAGCAATATATATCGCGGTTTATATGGAAACAAATAATTTAAAATTTATCGTAATTTGTTTTTATTGATTTTAATATGACAACAAACATAAGGCAACAACAGATTCGTTTTTCACTTTTAAAAATGCAGTTTTTGTGCGTTGTAATATTTGTCGGTGGTTTTTTTTTTCCGATCGGTAACCATCAACGGCGACTATAATGTTCGTTTTTCATTTTTTTTTTTTTTTTTACGTGTTCACCGCAACAATGTTTGTATACAATATAGCAGGGCACCGCGGCTGATCATGAAAAAAAGACGTTTGGGAACCGCCGATCTGTAACAGCCTCACATCTCGAACGCTTTTAGACGCTAATGCATATCACGTGACGGAAGTATCATCTCTAACTGCACTATCATCGTCCTGAACGCGTCGGACGCGTTGATAACGATCGAAACTCGGCTAAAGGTACTATATATATATATATATATATATATATGTATATATATATAATACACGAACCCCCGAGCAACAGTACAATAATAATAACGATAATAATACAATATTTGTGTACACTCACTCGGCGATCGTTTAGAGTACGA